AAATAAGGAAAACAGGACGTCTCAACTTTTCTACATGATAAAGAAAGAAATCTGTCAGCGTGACTCTCTGGAATTAAATTCTAAGAAAATGTCTCAGATAAATTAGTAAAGTTCTGGTAGCTCACTTACTGACCTATAAATCTGAAACTGGACATTTTTAATTGACACAGTTATCTGATTTAACTGTTCCTCTGTTGTTTTATTATGTTAGTGTAGTATCAGTGCCCTTTATCTATCGGAAAAAGCTGTAAAATGTAGAGAAAATGCCAAGTTTACACCTTCAGTGTTTACAGCTGTGCAGTGGGTCAGACTGAAGTCTTTGCTAGACCGATGCTGGTCCCCGGGCCTTATGTTTGCACCCCTTTCTAAAATTATGGTGCACCAATAATCTCTAGTGTAGTACGAGCAAAGTACTCAAACTCGACTAACTTGCATGAGCATGCACGTGTCCACCATCCGGCTGAGTATGCTCAGCCTATCGGCGATAGTCAGTATATTTATCCAGTCGCCCGACCCCAATTCAAACTCATTTTAATTATGTTCTTCTTCTACAATAATTCAGTCATGTAGATGGTAAAGCGTTGTTTGTTTGCGCCCATTGTTCATTAGTAGATTCTGAAATATATTTTCCTGCAATAATTTGTAATGAAATTATGTAAAATAAATAAAACCTTTAAGCTTCAATAGTTATTTTGTTAAAGCTAACATATAACTGGGACAATTTGTTGAAAAATGAACAAGTTAATGTTTTGAAGGTACAACTTCTTCACCACGTGTTGTTGCAGGAGGGGGTCAGAATCGTCCCTGGTGTCAGTACTGAGTTTGAAATTGTAGTATCCTGACAACCTGTTCAGCAGTGGCAGACATCATCTGCTTAGAGTGACACACAGTTGAGTTTTTAGAAGAGTACAAGATTAACTGTTAATGAAACACGGCACCCAGCTGACACAGCCCTACACACTAGAGCCACTGTGGAAAAGAAGGCTTAGTGTGGTAATATGGAAATCCACCACTGACGGGTGAGGTGATGGTGCTGGTCATCTCTTCATCAATGCACCTGTTGGTGAGTGGCATCGATCAGGGAGCATGTGAAGGTTTTCTCCTTAATAGCAGGAAACATGAGCAAGCATAAGGGTTTAAGATTGTGTTACTGCATCTCTAAACCTTCAGCTCCTATGGGATGTTCCCAGTCTGCACTGGTCAGTATCAAAAGTGATCTAATGAAGGTAGGGGTTAACCAGCAGGGTGCAAAGACTGACCTGTTTGTGCCAGTCCAACAGGTGACTGACTGAAGCTCACACTGATGAAAAGGTTGATGCTGGTTCTGATAGAAACGTGTCAGAACACACAGCGTGTCGCAGTTTGTTGCACATGGGGCTGCACAGCAGTAATGATGTCCACGCTGACCCCCGTCTACTGCCAAAAGGGTCACCAGTGGACACCTGAGCATCAGGACAGGATGATGGAGAAGTGGGAGAAGGTGCCTTCTTTGAGTAGCACAAACTGGGACAACTGGGACAAGTCTAAGGTGTTGAGTTGGGCTTCAGATTCCACAGATATCAGTTCAGTCGAGCATCTGTGGGGCGTGTTGGACAAACAAGTCCAGTCCAAGGAGGCCTTGCCTCACAGCTTACATGACTTCCAGGATCTGCTGC